AAGCGCAGCGGCGCTCCCGCCCGAGGGTTCGGATCCCACATACAGACCGGTTCCCGCTCACTGGCTGAGCGAGGCGCGGGAGCAACACCGAGGGTTGCAATCCCGTTGCCGGTCCCCGGTCCGGTACGGGCGCGACACTGAGGGTTGCGATCCGTTGCCGGACACGAAAAAAGACAAAAAAAAGGAAAAAAAAAAAAAGATGGAGATTTAGTTATCTTTAGAAAAGTGGCTACGAAGGCAGTAATTATCACTGTTTAATTTTTCATAGCCAAGTATCATGAGTAGTACTTATCCAAATAGCCCTGCTAGATTTCAGGCCTACTGTGGTAAATACTACACTCATATGCAATTCTTCAGAGAAAAGTATTTCCCCCTTAAATATACTTACCTAAAAAGGCAAGCAAACTCTTTTTCCTAAATAACCCCTCTACTTTTATAGTGCAGGTAGGGGAGGTGACAGGGGAGGGTAGAGAGCACAGCTCTAGTCAGTAGAAACTTCTTAACACTACACTTTCTGAGAAAGTAGGCTCAGAGTAGAGACTACCCCTAATTTGCTGCTCTCTAGGTCTCTGATCCTGGCAAAGTTACTTCAACTTTCTGCCTCACTGTACTCACCTGTAAAATGGAGATAATGAGTATGTAGCTCATAAGGCTACTGTAAAGATTAAATGACGTAATGTAGTAAAATAGTAAAAAATCTGCCTGGCACAGCTCAATAAATATTAGCTATTACTGTTGCTAGAAATTAGAACATGCTGTAAGGAAAAGACCATGGGGTTGGGGTCAGATATGCTTGCAATGATCAATGGAATACTAGTGACTCCATTTTCTACCTGCATGACCTTGGACAAACTTGCTTAATTCTCTGTGCCTCGGTTTATCCATCTATAAATTGGGGCTAAAACCACTTACCACAAAGGCTGTTGTGAGAATTACTTGAGATAATATATGTAAAGTGTGTGTCTCAATAAATGTTAGTACCCTTCTGCCTCAAAGCACTAGCTAACTGCTAGCACAAGGGTAGGGACAGCTGGTCAGTACTCACTCACTCACACTCAGCCTGTTGCCCCCCACCCCCTTCTCCTGACTCCTCCAAGGACACTGTAGGGCAATCAGTCCCATCTCAGAACACCAACCCAAAACTAAAATGTGAGAAAAAAATATTTAATCCTCTACATACACAAACATGTGAAAATCAGCATACCATTTTAAGCATATCCTTGAGCTTCAAAATAAGAAACCCTACACTGAGCAAACACGGGAAGGGAAGGTAAATATTACAAGGTTTAATGTCTACCTTTCCAATAAATTCCTTTAACAAGAAGCATCGCACCGTAATAGAAAGAGAATGGACTTAGTACTCAGAACGATCTGGATTCAAACCCTCATTCCACCACTTACTACCTGTGTGACTTTGATCCAATTACTGACTCAGACGCTGTTCCCTCCTCATCTCTAACACAGAGTTATACCATCAATCTCACAGCCTAACGATGAGGACTAAATGAGATAATGCATATCCAGTCCCTAACTGGAATGTTTGGTATATGGCAGGTGATCAATAAATAGTAGCTGTTAGTGGTAAATCTGAACGGGAAATTCACACTAAAGAGGTTAACAACAGTAATTGGAGACTAACAAAAACCCCTTTGGTTCTCTATTTTAGAACAAAAATTTCTAGGGAGAAAATGTGAGAAATAATGTCAGTAATTTTGTTACTACACAAAAATATTTTCAGACCACAATTACAATCTTCTTTCACTGCTAGTCTATAATACCAAAGCCACTGCGCAATTAAAAGGTTATGTTCTTCTTTCACTTTTTACAGGAATTTTCTTCTTATGTTTGATAAGTACGTGGTGTTACAGATTCCTTTAATGGTTTTTGATTTCCCTTTCTATTTTTAACAGTACTGCTGGACATGTGTTTTTTGGTTCTTTTTTTTCTTTATCATAAGTCACCTCACATCCCTCTGGGATGTAGGCAGGGTATAAATTATAAATGTTACATGTATATGCTAAAATGGGACACGGATATATTTTCACATAGGCCATTTAAACTTCTTAGGAGCTTCCAGAAGCATTACAGTAGAGAGGGTGAGAAGCTGCAGCCAGAGAAAAGAAGGGGAATAGTAAGCTAATAAGTAAGATGGGAAGAAACCATGACTATTATCCTAAGGGACTTCCCATATGGTACAAGCACTGACAATGGGGAACTAGGACAAATATAATTAAAAACACAATCTCTTTAAAAAGAAAAATTCTAAAACCCAAATGCAGGAAGCAATATAACTTCAGAAGAGAAAAACTGTAATACATGAAATTAAAACAGGGTGAGAGAAAGTTTATAGAATATACTTAATAATTTAA